ATCTCCTCCTGCTGGCCCTAACACCTCCTTCTGCTAGCCCTTATATGTCCTCCTGCTGGCCCTAACATCTCCTTCTGCTAGCCCTAACATCTCCTCCTGCTGGCCCTAACATCTTCTTCTGCTAGCCCTGACATCTCCTCCTGCTGGCCCTAACATCTTCTTCTTCTAGCCCTGACATCTCCTCCTGCTGGCCCTGACATCTTCTTCTTCTAGCCCTGACATCTCCTCCTGTGGCCCTAACAACATCTTCTTCTTCTAGCCCTGACATCTCCTTCTGCTAGCCATGACATCTCCTTCTACTAGCACTGTCATCTCATTCTGCTAGCCCTGACATCTCCTCCTGCTGGCCCTGACATCTCCTTCTGCTAGCCCTGACATTTCCTTCTACTAGCCCTGACATCTCCTCCTGCTAGCCCTGACATCTCCTTCTAGTAGCACTGATATCTCCTACTAGCCCTGACATCTCCTCCTGCTGGCCCTGACATCTCCTCCTCCTGGCCCTGACATATCCTTCTACTAGCCCTGACATCTCCTCTTTTTTTGTTCACTTTTCCTTGCAGCAACACTCCCCCCCCCCCCCCCCCCCCCGAATTCTAAGAAATTCTCATTACAATGATTTTTACAGCTTGACCAAGACATTTAATTTATTGAAAATTTGATGCGGAAAATGTAATTCCTAAAAATAGCACAACCTCAAATTATTGACTGAACTCTCTCCCTCTCTCTCTCTCTCTCTCTCTCTCTCCCTCCCCCTTCACCATTTATTTTATTTATTATATGATATTAAGTATAGTCACCTATTTATATTTTTAAATACTTCCAAATAAAGAATGTTTTTTAAAATGTTCTATCAGTGTTTATTTATATCATGTTATTGTTCTGTTTTTGATAAGATGTTGTGCATGGTGCTTTTAATACAATTGTATTACCTAATACTGATGTCATTTACCCAACCTGGGGCATAGGCCTGTGGCATAGACCATCTACCAGAGTTTTCCATTCATCGCTGTCCTGTGATTTTCCTTCCCAGGTGCCCGTACTTTGTGCGTCTGCCTCTAGCTCGCATATCCATTCTGTCCATCTTCCCCTGTGGATTCCATGTTAGGAATTGTCAGGTGATGTTATCTGGGGTTTTACGAAGAGTGTGCCCTATCTATTTCCATCTTTGTTGTTGATGGTGTTGACCGTTTGATGTTCAGGATCTTCCTAAGGCAAGTGTTTGTGAAGGTCTGTATTTTCAGCTTGATGCTCGCTGCTATTGAACAAGTTTCAGCTCTACTGAGTAGAACTGATTTGCACTGAAGTTGAAAATTTTAACTTGAGTTTGTAGACTCAGCTCCTTGGATTTTAACTTGAGTTTGTAGACTCAGCTCCTTGGAGTCCGGTATTTTCTTTAACCTCACAAATGCGGAGGAAGCCTTTCCAATTCTAGGCCCTGACATCTTCTTCTTATAGCCCTGATATCTCCTCCTGCTGGCCCTAACATCTCCTTCTGCTAGCCCTGATATCTCCTCCTGCTGGCCCTAACATCTCCTTCTGCTAGCCCTAACATCTCCTCCTGCTGGCCCTAACATCTTCTTCTGCTAGCCCTGACATCTCCTCCTGCTGGCCCTAACATCTTCTTCTTCTAGCCCTGACATCTCCTCCTGCTGGCCCTGACATCTTCTTCTTCTAGCCCTGACATCTCCTCCTGTGGCCCTAACAACATCTTCTTCTTCTAGCCCTGACATCTCCTTCTGCTAGCCATGACATCTCCTTCTACTAGCACTGTCATCTCATTCTGCTAGCCCTGACATCTCCTCCTGCTGGCCCTGACATCTCCTTCTGCTAGCCCTGACATTTCCTTCTACTAGCCCTGACATCTCCTCCTGCTAGCCCTGACATCTCCTTCTAGTAGCACTGATATCTCCTACTAGCCCTGACATCTCCTCCTGCTGGCCCTGACATCTCCTCCTCCTGGCCCTGACATATCCTTCTACTAGCCCTGACATCTCCTCTTTTTTTGTTCACTTTTCCTTGCAGCAACACTCCCCCCCCCCCC